TGACCTAGGACAGCTGAACTCTGATCTTCAACATTCACCTGCGTGTGTCTTCAGCGTCTCCCTGTAACCCCCTGCCTCTGGGCAGGGAACTATTTGGTCTTAGGATGTGTAGATATAACTGAACTGTAGATGTAAGGGAAATTTGATGTGTTGTATTGTTTTTAAATAATTAAAAGGGGTCAGTTTTCCAAAAATTGTTAGCATCTAGATTTGTTTTGTTCATCTTTGGGTAACTAAGTTTAAGCTCAGTGAACATTAGAAACCGGTTACATGTAAGTGAGGTTTTTTTTTAAGTCCTGCTTTAGACTGTCGTAACCATTCCACGATGGTGAGAAGGTTCAGGTATCTTTAGTTCTTAAGTCAAAAGTTGACTGAGATCAGATTGTACTTGGTACAGAGCCTGACATGTGGTAGTTGATAAATGTAGCTTTAAAAGTCTGTGTCTTGTGCAGGCACTTTGCTTTTGAGACGAGTCTTGCTGTAGTGCAGGCTGGCCTTCAACTTGCTTATGTATCCAGGCTGACCTCAGGCTCAATGATTTTCCTGCCTCAGCCTCCCAAGTGCTAAGCTTACGGGCATGTGTCATCATGCCCACTCCATTTGAAACAGTTCTCACATTTAGTCCAGGCTGAACTCTGAACTGTGTAGTCAGGTCGGCTTTCAACATACAGCAAATCCTGCCTTGGGCTCCTGAGTGCAGAGATTACGGGTATACACCACCATGCTGGCTTTTAAAGTAGCCAGGAGACAATTGAGACTGAGCCTAGAAACCCTGGAGGCTTTGTCTCCAAAACTCATCTTTACATAAGTTACTTTGAAATGAAAGAGGAAAAATTCTATAAAGCCATTTTTTTCTTGAAACCAATGTGATGTCATTTTTATCTAAAATGTACTAGGATGGGCATGCACCTACTTGGGAAGAGCAGCTTTCCCTCTGAGAGCAGCACCCACGGTCAGAGGGGTGTCTTCCCCACCTTGTGCACTGGCCCACCCGCCTCTGTCCAGGTGTCCCTCATCAGTGAGTAAACCAAGATTAACCATCACACTGCTTGAGGATGGTTTTTCACTGTTAGTTGCTCTTCGGAGAATTTTTTTTTTTTTAAAGGAATATTCATTTTCTTTTTTTTTTTTTTTTTTTTATTTTTATTTTTATTTTTAATTTTATTTATTTATTTATGAGAGAGAGAGAGAGAGTGGTGTGTGTGTGTGTGGCCAGCTCAGCCCACCAGGGGGCGCGGCTGGCTGGCATGTGGTGCTGGGGGATCGAACCGCGGTCCCTGATGCTTTGCCAAGCTTGTTCTAAGTAGGTGCTTTAGACCACTGAGCCATCTCTCCAGCTCTCTTCGGAGAATTTTTATTTTCTCTGTGTCTCATATTTTCTCTCTCTACCTAATCTACATTATGGGCACTCCAAATATCCCAGATATGTCTAATCTGCTATTAATCTGGTTTTTTGGTTTGTTTTTTTGTGGTACTAGGGATCGAACTCAAGACCTTGCACTTGCCAGGCAGGTGCTTATGCCACTGAGCTATCTCCCCAACCCCTTCTGTTCATCTTTTTCTTTTTTTTTTTAAAGGTATTATTTTGTTAAAATACAGAAAACACAATGTACAACTTAAATATTTAAAGTGAACATTAAGTTACAATCACCCCAGCCTAGAAACAGAAACTTGTGCTTACCCCAGTGTCATTTATTATGTCCTTCACACAAGCCCTTCCCTCCCAAAGTTAACCAATACTCTTGTGTTTTATATTAAACATTTCCCTGCATCAGTCAATGTATTTACTTGCCTTCTGTTGTCTATCTCTGTTAGTGAGATGTAGCTACATGGCTGTATATAATGAGTTTATTCATTGCTATCGTCAGGCTTCTCAATGTTTTGGTTAGTCTTCAACCTTTCCATTTATACAAAGAACAAAAACGCAAAAATACTGACTTTCATATGAAGGACTTGGGTTAGGTCCCCAAGTTACATGAAAGGTTAATGAAATGCCTTTCCAGGATTGGAATTTTATTTGTTGGACAAAGAACAGTACATAAGTGCAATTTCACTGACACCGAGACATACCTGTGGACCTAGGCACCTGATTCATGTCCACAGTCACAGAAGTCCGTCATTCGTGCGGCACACAATGAAGCAGAATGCACAAGGGTGGGCAGGCGTATGCATGTGTGTGAGGACTTGGGCAGATACTTTCACATTTTATTTCTCTCCCTTTTTTTTTTTTTTTTTTTTTAACATGAGTAAAGTCAGATGATGAGAAGAAAAGGACGGAGGATCCACTTTTGGGTTCCAGCATCTCCTTCCCTTTCCCAGGCTCTTCTGTGCATGGCAGCTGCAGAACCAACTCAAGCCAACTCAGGTCCACCCTTCTGCTTTCCAGACACTAACATTCTTCAGCATACAGAAACTTGGCTTTAAACAACAGCCCCCAAATTCAAGGGAACACATCAATTACAAACAATCATACAGACAGACTATTGGGTCTGAGATCCAGACGGGCAGTGAAACTTTGGCGTGAAAGGAAAATGTAACCACTGTCCCGCCCAGCCTGGAGTTGAGGCAGGGGAGGGTAGAGGAATTCCTGTCCAAAGAGAGGGCTGGGGTGATGAGCCATTTCCCCGCAGCGCCAGCTTTCTCGCACCCGATGGTATGCTGGGAGCTTGCTTCTCAGACTGTATCCACTGCAAGAACATCTATTCCAGCCGAAAGCAGTGGCTGCAGGAGGTCTAACATTGGGCCCTTATGAATGTGCGCCCGCTGACCTCCCAACAACCCTCTAAAGGAGCTTCTGCGTTATCTTACAGATGGAGAACCAGGCTCAAGATGGGAAATGACTTCCTCACAGTCACATGGCTCACAGTGGTAGAATTAGAACCCAGGTAAACTGCAAGGCAGAGCACTAACATCACAACATCAGTGATTACAGGGGAGTGGGCATTGGGTTGGACACCAAGGACAGCAGAAATACTCATCTCCTCAGCCAGACAGTCTTTTTTTTTTTTTTTTTTTTTTTTTTTTTTGTATTTTAGGGAAGGGTCTACAGGGTGTTCAGGGTCTCACTACTAGATCGGACTCAGTGATCCGCCTGTTTAAGCCTCCCAAGAGCTGGGATTACAGGCGCATGCCACCACACCCAGTCTCAATTGCTGTCCAGTGTGCCCCAGGGACAGGGCCAGCACAGCAGGCCCAGGGATTGAGCCCCCCAGCCCTTGTGCCTGCTTGCACGCGCTTTAATCCACTGAGCTATTTGGCCTGCTCCAGACTGTCTTTTTGACCACCCTAAACAAATTATTTCCTTCCTCTGAATCTGGATATCCACATCTATAAGTAGGGAGGGAAATAGGCAGTCACATTGAGAATGAGGAAGAGAATGTACAGAGAACCTGCTGCCAGCCCTAGCTCTGGGACACTAAACAACGCAGCCACTGCCACCGCCACCACCACCATCCTCATCATCACTTAACCCACGGGGCCTGCTCAGCATGGAGGGTGGAAAGGGTTCCTGCAGGCACCCCACTCCACTCCCACTGGATAAAGTGCAAGACAAATCATGGACAGGTGACACTGGAGTCACCTGGGGCACTGGTTACTAACAGGTTCCCCAGGGCAGGAGGTTATGAGGCTGCTGGCAGAAATCCATTTCAGGAAAAACAGCCTAGATCATTTTGAAGCACAATGCATTTGGATTCTACTAAACTCTGACCTTCTAGGCCATTTGCAACAATGGTTTGTGTATGAAGACTCTATAAACTATACAGTGTTGTCCACAAGTCTTGGCTCCAGATGTTACCTGAGCCCCAATTCTGGGGAATGAAGCTTCAGGCTGGGGCTACAGCTCATCAGACTCTGGGAGGTTGCGTACCCAGCCCTGAGCCACCCTGTTGAAGCTGGGCCTGAGGCGGAGAAGTTCCAAGCCATTGAAGGGCTCCGGGACAAAGGGGGTGGCTGCCCTGGAAATGGCCTCCCCCATGAGGGATCTTCCAAACGGCACCGGGGTCCTGGGATAAGAAAGCAACAAGAAAACTGGCTGTGTGGGACAGGGATGGCAGCACACTGACAGGCAGGTCACCACATGTGATACCTCCCTGACTGCCTCCAGACCTCAGTTTTCCTTCTGTAGTGCAAAGGATCTGTTAACTAACTGGTGTCTCCAGCTCCAACCTTTCCCAAGTCTCCCCTAGTGGTATGGAGTAGGCTGAGCTTTCCAGAGCTAGAAGTGGCTCATCCTTGGCGAAACTCGGCTCGCCTAAGAGCAGCACATGAAATAGACTTTTTTTCTTGCTCTTGTCACCTCCTTTAAAACACCCACACCCTGGAATGCGAAGGGAGGTTAGGAAAAGCAGTGAGATTCGGGAATGCAATTTACAACACATGCATGCCATTTCTCCCCTATGAGATTGGCAAATAGAAAGAATTTGATAGTGGGCAGAGGCAATGAGGGAGGGGCAAAGTTTCATCCACAGTCCTCTGGTTAAAGGGTAAATCAGGGCAGCTCTCTCGGAGAACAATCTGGAAGGATCTTCCTGACATGAAAAGGTGCCAACTCTGTCACCAGCAACTCCATCTGCAAGCACATGACGTGCATGTGAGCACGAGAAAGCAGAAGGCAACCGCAGAAGGCAGTGCAGAGGAGTGGACGAAGCGGAGGTGATACATCACATACAGGCTGCTATTCGGCAGCCCAAAAGGAGGGTAATCAAAGGCATAAGGGTGAAAGGATGAGTTACGGACTGGAATGAAAAGTGCTGTATCGGGGAGCACACACCCCCCCAACACAATGTCTGGCAGTATGCAGCTGTCTGTACAAAATATTCCCAACACACACAGGCCAACCCGACTACTGTGTCACCTCTGGAAGGGGACCTGGGATTGAAGAACAAAGGTTCTCTGCCTTTATTTGCAGTTGTTTACTTTTTTTTCAAAGAGAATACAACATGATGATCAAAAATGAAGTCAATGTGGGGCTGGTGAGATGGCTCAGTGGTCTAAAGCATCTACTTAGAACAAGCTTAGAAAAGCACAAGGGACCGCGGTTCAATCCCCCAGCACCACATGCCAGCCAGCCCTGCCCCCTGGTGGGCTGAGCTGGCCACACACATAAATAAATAAATAAATAAATAAATAAATAAATATTATTTAAAAAAATACAGTCAATGTTTAAGCCAATGTTACAGTCAATGTTAAGTAAATTTAATAAAGTAAAAGATATTGCCATTAGCCACCCCCCACCCAGATACTCTCCCTTGCTTTGAACATGCATATTCCATCATTCCATTTTCAGAAGCTCTGAAAGTCCTCTTTTATGTCTTTCTGAGGCTGCTTCAGTGTCCAAAACCAACTGAAAATGTTTGCCATAATGTCCAACTAAAATCAATTTAAAATGTTTACAGTAAGTTCTGTCAACATGGTGAATCCTCATGTATCTTATTCACTCGACCTGGAACCATGAGATCTCTGGCTCTTCAACAAAGTCAAAATGACAAAGTTAAATGTTTTGAATCAATTTAGGACATCAAGGCAACCAAGATAGTATAACCAAAGACACTCACAAAAGATGACTTCCAGAACTGCTTCAAACTGGTAAAAACTGCCCAGGAGAGATAGCTCAGTGGACTAAGCAGCTGCTTAGGCAAGCACAGGGACAGGGGTTAGATCCTTAGCACCACAGGTCAGGCTGGCCCCACCCCTGGGCATGCTGAGCCAGCCACTGAGACCAGGTATGATGGTGCATGCCTGTAATCCCAAGACTGAGGAGGCTAAAAACTGGAGGATCACTACGAGTCTGAACTGTGTAGTGAGACCCTATACCAAATACATCAAAAAAACAAACAAATGAATGAACAAAAAACCTGGCCCCAGCATGCCATGCTGGCCCCACCCCGGGGGCCGAGCTGAGTCTGCAGCTGAGACTGGGTGTAGTGGCACATGCCTGTAATCCCAGAGCTTAGAAGGCTGAAAACAGGAGGATCACTACGAGTTTGATCTGTGTAGTGAGACCCTGTACTAAATACAAAAAAAAAAAAAAAAGAAAGAAAAAACAAACAAACAAAACAGGTAAAAACAATGGGTGTCTTTTTATTTTGTTGAGATGGGGTTTCATTATGCAGTTCAGCCTGGCCTTGAATTCACCCTGTCACTCATGCTGGCCTCTGCCTCAGCGTTCTGAGTACTGGGATTATAGGTTTGTGCCACCACACCTGGCTAATGTGACTTTTACTTTTTTTTTTTTTTTGACAGGGTCTCACTTTGTAGCCCAGGTTGGTCTTGAACTCACAAGGATCCTCCTGCCTCTGCTTCCTCTGTGCTAAGATTACAGGAGTGTGTCACTAAAGCCAGCTGTAATAACTTTTTAATTTAAGCATGCACTGTATTTTTCAATCACACTTCATGCTCCAGTGTGTACACGTGTATGTAATTTTAAAACCATTTTTTAATCTTAAGGAAAAAAAGCACTGCTCCTGTAGTTTTCCTGCAGCAGAAACCAGAGGAAAGAGGCGAAGGCTTGGCTCTGACCAGGGCCGGGACACTGCCAGGAAAGCATTGCTCCCTGGACCAGCACAGCTTTGACCACAGCAGCCAGGCCCTACGGGAACAGACTGGGTGGCGTCCAAACCGGGTGGGCCCCACAGTTGGACCACTGACTGGGAGCCCAGAACCCTGAATTCCGAGCCCTGCTTGGCTATCAATGCTGCTGTTTTCTCTGTCTATGCCTCAGTTGCTCCTTCTGTCTGTGCTCCTTCAGAAGCAATCTGGGCTCAGGACTGCCAGGGAGCCTCCTGCTTCTGGTGGGAATATGCCACGACCAAACACTTGGAGGCATGCAATGGCAGGGGGATGCCCCCAAGAACTGGTCAGCCTCAAAGGTGGCTGCCAGGACACAATGTCTGCTGAAGACTTTAGGCAGTCCTGCCTGGTGGGGAGCTCCAGAATGTCTGCCAAAGGCATGAGGTTCCCAGTGCCAGCTCTTCACATCAGGGGCCTGCCTGGCTATTCAGCTGTCTGAAGGTAGTCACACCCCTCCTGAGCCATCTCCACTGGAGGTCACCCCATGCCTGCATGTGCCCTGCGCAGTACTTGCTCCTTCCTCTTAGGACCTCATCCAAGGCCTCTGCAGGCCTGGCACACACCCTCTGTCTTTGTCAGGCAGTCTCCACGTGTGGTCTGAGCAGGTGCCAGCAGAGCTGGCCTGCAGCCTTCTCTCTGGGGGCCCTCCTGCTCCTCACTTAATGCAGCCAAAGCCAGAGAAGCATATTGAGAAACGGCATCAGACTAACGAAGCCAACTGCAATGGCAATGGAAACGTAACCCCAGCCCAAGGGCCTCCTCCAGGGCCAAGCTCCAGTCTTGACTCCCATGGGTGGTTCTGGGCCCTCAGGGCAGAATGTGAAGTCTCTCCCTTGCAAGCTCTTCTCTGCTAGCTTCTCCAACCACCATTTCAGCCTGTAAACAGCAGCAGCAGAAGTAGCTACTGCTTACTGAGAGGTTATTACTTTCCAACAACTTCATTTATGGTGTCTCCTGTCATAGAAACCTTAGGAAGCAGGTTCAGATACAGGTACGGATGAGATACTAGAAGCTCAGAGAAGTTGAATCACTGCCTTAGGTCACCAATCTAGGTGTGGCATGCACAGTGAGGTCCAACTAAACTAGCCTAAGCCACTCCTCGCTGGCCCTCACTTCTGGTGCCACTCCCTGCTTTGGGTTACCTCAAAGCCACTTTCTAGGCCTCTTCCACACCACTGCTGAGAGTACGAAGAGGCTCAGCTGGCCTAGGATTTTTAATCTGGGGAATCCCCTGGAGAAGGTCAGACTCTCGGTGGCCCTCATAAAGGTGACTCACAGCAGAGTGGAGAAGGAGAGAACAGCTCTGGAGTCAGATATGCCCTGCCCTGCTGCTTGCTTCCTCCTTGTTTTGTGACTTGTGGCAGATTCCGAAATCGCAGTACCCATGCCCTCCTGTTGTAGAGGATAGCCAGATGCTGGACACTTTCCCAACCCACTCCTATGGTTAGTCACCTATTAGGTGCTGAGGCTCTGGTCTAGCAATGCCTCGACGTACATCAGTGCTGGGGCTAGAGCTAGCCTGAACCCACAGGTAAATGTGGGCTTCTGCTGCCACGCCCCCACCCCCATCCCGTCTCCCCCAAATGCCTCACTCCCGGCCTTACTTATTGAAATTCCGAAGGTCTCCGAAGCTCGGGGTGTGACTCCGGCCCTCGCATAAGTAGTCTCGGTAGCTGACAAACTCCTGCCACGGACAGCGGTAGCCCTTGGGGACGGCGGTGTGGTTGAACTTCTCGGGCGGGACGCTCTTCAGGGGCTCTGCGTAGCCTGCGACGACCGAGCCCAGGGCGTGGGGCGCGCAGGCGACAGGGGGCGCTCCGGCCCGGCCCTCAGCCCTGTCCACCCCCAGGCCCCGGACCAGGTGGGGAGGAAGGCCAGCTTGGGGAAGAGCTGTGGGGAACGGCATGCCAAAGTCGCCCCGGCACAGGGGACCCCTCCCCGAGCCAGAAGCCGGCGGAGTGGCGCAAGGGGACCCTGAGTTCCAAGCACGGGTCCCGATCTGGGCTGCTGCGCGCCGCTCCGGCTCGGTGGGCTTGCGCTGTGAACAGCGAGGCGCGCGTGTGCATGCGCGTCTGCGTGAGTGTGCGTGCGTGCGTGCGTGCGTGTGCTTTTCTTGCCTCGCCGTGGAGCACACCAGTGCCTTTCCCAGGCCCCAGGGCGCCGCTTACCTGGCGCCAGGGCGCTGGGGTTCCGCAGGAGCTCCTTCCCGGCGGCTGTGGTGTGGGCGCCCCCGGGGTCCCCGGAGGAGGCGGGGAGGATGTGCAGCTCCGAGCGGTAGCTCTGCCCCTCTGGGCCGTTGGCGACCTGGTCACCGGGTTGGGGATCAGAGACTGCAAGCGGCAGCGTGGACCTATGCCCCCCATTTCCCGCTGCGCCTCCCGCGGGTCTCCTCTGCGCTCACCGTCAGGGGCACAGACGCTTCAGTGACCTTCCCCTTGGTGCTTCCGGCTAGGATCTGAGGGAGCAGACAAACCCAGCAAGGCTTAGCCGGGCGAGAGGTCAGGATTCCCCTTCCACCCATTCAGGAAAGTGAAGGGGAGGAAGATGGGGGACCCCAGGGCCAACTCCGGGCGGTTCAGGAGGGTAATCGTTTATAGTGCTGGCCGGGGCGGAGGACTACACAATAAATATTTATTGTTGTTGTCTTACCGATACTTCCTGAGCCTCAGTTTTATTCTGTGTAGGGGAGGAGATGACCCTCTCCTTAGTGTTCTCTGTAAGGATATGTGAAGGTGCGCAGCTAGCACTGTCTCTCGGGCGCACAGCAAAGTTGTGTATCTGCCATCCTTATTTTGATCCCCTCACTTCCTGTCATCTCCTCTAGAGCAGAAACTGAATGCCTGAAACTGCATGTTGCCTTTTGCAAATCCAGCAGATTGTCCCAGGACTTCTTCCTTCTCGTGGGAAGGAGAAAGGCATCCTTCAGTTTCCATCTAGGATCAAACTGAATCTGAACAAATCCTGCCTACCACTGAGTTGACCCCGGGCACAGGGCTATTCTTTCTCATTTTTTTGTTTTGTTTTGTTTTGCAGTACTGGGGGTCGAACTCAGGACCTTGTGCTTGCCAGGCAGGCACTTATGCCACTGAGTTCGCTCCCTGGACCTTCTTTCCCTTTTTTTTTTGGGGGGGGGGCACCAGAGTGAGTCATTCTGGTGTCCCACCCAACCCGCTTTCTGTTTTGCATTCGGGAATCGATGGCCACAGAGAACTGCATGGCACTGCACAGCAGAGCTGTGATGGAAACATCGGCCTCCCGGATGGAGCTGAGGGACTCTCCAGGCACCAGAGGCCCTCGGCCTTACGCCGAACACTGGCTCCCTCTGGGTCTCAGTTTCCCTGTGAGCACCATGAAGGCTTACCGCCTGCTGGCTAGCTGCAAGCTCAAATGTGAACCTCTGCACCCGGCGCTGCCTCTTCTGGAAGAGGAGAGATCCCCGGTTGTTGCGCAGTGACAGCTCTTCTATCATCAGGTCCTGGGGCACGCTCACCTTCTTTCCCAGGTCCAGAGACGGTTCTGCGCGAGAGGCCAAGGAGCTCTGACTACTTAACCCCAGGCATTTCTGGCCTTGGCCTCTAAAGCCCTGGGAGAGCATGGCAGGCTGTGTGTGAGGATGCCGGTGTCTCCCCAGTCTCGCTGATACTGGGAATTATCGTTCTTTGGGATCTTTGCCCACCTGAGAGGCAAAAATGGTGCCTCGGAGTTTTTGCCCCATGTTTGCTGTTTGGTGAAGTTGAGGGCTATTTCAGAAGTTCTTTGGCCATTTTTATTTATTCCAGCAGTATTCTCCCTAGCTCTTTGCCCATCAGGAAGGTAGTGAGAAATGATGGAATTTTGAATACTTTTCTTAAAAGTTAGCCACCGGTGTGAGATACGAGAGAAACTAAGAGGCATTTTCCAGCACTAGGAACTAACCTCGTGGAAGACAGCTCTTCCACCAGGTAAAGGTAGAAATGGTGGGAAAGTTGGGATTAGATTTTCATGAGGAGCCCTCACCTTAGGTCCTTTGCATGCCTAACTCACAGTGCACAGTGTAGGTCACACTCCTAGGAGACCAACACAGTGGCTGATGTGATAGGAGAGCCACTCTAGCAGTAGTGGGGACCACAGATGTGGAGGATTTCCAGGGCTTCTGCCTGTCCTTGGTAGTTTGGGATCCACCCCCTACCTTTATGCCTTCCAGACTAGGAAAAATGCATACTTTTACATTTGACTATCAAGGAAGCTTTTTAGAGGGCTAAAGTGACAGGATAATGAGAACCTTGACAGAACAGGGTTCTTTATGGCAGCAGGGCCACGTTGCTCATCTCCAAAATTAGATGCAGGGCCAGGAGTAAAGCCCACTGGTAGAGTGCTGCTGGCTTGGCATGTGCAAGTCCCTGGGTTCAATCTCCAGCACAACAAGAAAACATTTAATTAAAATTCATTGAAGTACACACAGTTGATTGCCAGCTCTTATAAATAAATGGTCTTTTAATCTGGGAAGCTGGAAAAGATCGGGATGCAAGCACAATAAATAAACTTGAGCCCTGAGTGCTGAGCCCTCCAACATTTAGACTGAGGAGAGAAGCCAGCCCAAGGGGCTGGGCAGGAAGTCAGTGAGGTGAAGGAAATCTGAAAGAGGTGGTGTCCTAGACACCAAATGATGGGATTTCAGGGCCAACAGAGTGACAGTGAAATCAAATGCTGCTGACGTGTCAAGTCAGATAAGGGCTGAGCAGTGACTTTTATTTGGTAACATGGCCATGGATAATCTTCATTAGCAGTCTCTGTGGAGAATTTGAGTGTAGACACCTATTGGAGAGGGTTTCAGAGTAAATGGATATGGAACAAGTTAAATCATGCCAGCGAGAGGCAGTGAGCCATTCACGGTGCAGAGCATTCTACAGGCAGCTGGCCTGGTTTCTTCCAATATGAATGACAGGGAAGTAAAGGGCAGAGTGGTTGTTTCAGATTAAAAGAGATTTAAAAGACATAGCAACCAAATAACCTTGGCTCTTGTTTGGGTCCTGATTAAAACAAACTGGAAAATTGGACAACATTGACTATGAGGCTGGTTATTAGGTATTGTTAAATCATTGCTGCTAATTTCATTCAGTGTACACCTATTTCTGTAGCATATAAGGAAATGCCCCTTTTTATTACTTTGATGCATGCTCATGCTGAGGAGCTTAGGGAATAACAGCATGTCCTTTGGCTTTTGCTCTGGGGTCTAGGGATAAAGACAGGACCTTGGGGATTTCTAGGCTCCGCTTTTGTGTGCGCTTGTATACAAGCATGAGAAAATGTGAATAAAAAGATGGAGAGAAAAGTATAGATGACTAACTTGAAGAGGCTGTGCCTTCCAGGACTGGGGCTGCTGCAGGAGCTGTGTGATGATGGGGGCTGCTTGGGAAGAGGCGGCAGTGGCTTGAGTGTTGGCCATGGGAACACAGTAGAGAAAGAACCTTGAGGCTAAGGGCAGCAGGCAGGGTGTTTCGTGCCCAGCTAGAAAGGTGGACCCAGACAGGTGTGAGAATAGCCTGCCCACCCTCGTAGGAAGGAGAACAACATAAAATAAGGTGCAAGCAAGCAGATCAATATGGCAGACAGCATTTGAACGGTGAAACAAGGAAGGTCATTGCTGAAAATGGAGATGTGTAGAGAGGAACGAGGGTGCCAAGGTCAACTAAGAGCAGCACCAGAGAGCCTAGGCCAGGGAGGTGGACACAGTGGCCAGCCGTGCTGAGGACCACACTGTGCTGTGTTTCATTGCATTCTGTGAAGTCATAAGTAGTCACTAAGAAGAGGAGCAGGACTTGTTTTTGCCACTCTTCCAACAAATTATATAGAGAGCATTTTGTAAAGGCTAAGAGCATACAGACATCTACTGTAGGTTAAGTGAGGAGTGGGGCAAGTTTCAGAAGAATATGTATTCTAAGATTCCATTTGTAAATTATGTGCATGGTTTAAAAGGCTTGTCAAAGACACATGGCAAACATTAACAGTGACTATTTGTGGTGCACAGGAAGGAAGGGGGCTGGGAGTCATAATTACTGTGCAGATTACCTGAGCTCATTAGGTTTTTTGAAAAGATAAAACCTATTTGATTATTCTATCTCTAGGAATCATTCTTAGGGAAAGAGTTGGATAAACATATACAAGGATGTTTATTATAATGGAGTTTAAAATTGTGAAAACTAGGGGATTGATCTTGAGGGGAGGCTGCCCACGCACTCTTCATTAGTTTACAAGATCTACAGAGAACTGCTCAGGAGAACAGAGCCACTATCACCCTTTAGCCACGCACAGCAGTTCATGTTCCACAGCCCCAGGAAGCATCGCACTGGACCTGGGCTGCAGCCGAGCCTCATCCTTGCTTAACAATTTCTCTGGCCCTTTCCTGGCTCATCCCGCTCCCTTCTCCTATGAGAACCCCCTCAACCAGTCACTGGAGCAAGACTCCTCAGGTCCTTGAGGGTCCCACTGAGACAAGCCTTTATGACAGTCAGCAGGGCTTTATCCCAGGCAAATGACTTGTCCAAACAGTGGCACGCTAAGGGACAGCGCAAGGGAGCCAGGAGCCACAGCCTGCCAAGTGGAAGGACGGCTGTGGTGTGCCGCTCAGTGCGAAAGCAGGCAAGCTGAGCAGCACAGCATGCAGTATCTAGCCCACACGTATACATGCTTAGATAAATACGTGATACACAAACAGAGGAATGTGTACAAATGTGTTAGCAGTGGTTACTCCGTATGGTTCCATTATGAGGAACTTTTTCAAAGTAATTCATTTGTATTTTGTCTGAATATTTTTAAACGAATATATTATTTACATATGCATATAGGAGAAGCAGCTCTGGAGACAGAGACCTAAAGTGAAATTCCAGCTGTACTACTTACCACATCCCTGACAACCTACCTCCTTTAAGCCTTACCTTTCTCATAGGCTGGAAGGGAATACCACATAACTTATGGAGTTGCAGTGAGGCTTAAATGACATATGGCAAACTAGATTCTGACAGTATCTGACACGTAGCAACCATATAAGAAGGATAAGAGTTTACTATTACTATTTAAAATAGTTATTTTTAGGTGGTGAGACCGTAAGATTTATCTTTCCTATTTTTTTAATTGCAAAATTGCCTTTACTTAGTACCTTAGCAATAATCAGAAAGCTATTTATTTGAAGTATGGCATAAATGATGTTGGAGAGGCCTATGCCTAATTATCTAGACAGTTCTCTTCTAGTTAGGGCAATGCCACTTTCTTTTTTTTTAATTTTAATTTTATTTTATGTGTGTGTGGCCAGCTCAGCCCACCAGGGGGCGGGGGCAGGCTGGCACTTGGTGCTGGGGGATTGAACCGCGGTGCCTGTGCTTTGCTAAGCTTATTCTAAGTAGGTGCTTTAGACCACTGAGCCATCTCACCAGCCCCAATGCCACTTTCTAAAGTTTACATTTTCAGTAAAGAAAATCATGGAAGGAAAAAGGAATGTGACATCACCAGACAGTGGCAAGAACACGTGAAATAGTCTGAGAAGTCACACAGTGTGGCCGGTGGAGGCAGATCACAGGCCAGCTCATGGCCCGGGCTTATGAGAGTGTTCTCAGGTCACCCAAAGGCAAAGGCACAGGCCTCAGCTCCAGCCCACTAAATCAGAGTCCCTGGGGCAGGCGCCATGCACCTGCATTTTAAATTTATAATACAAAGGGATGGCCAGATAGCTCAGCAGACTAAAGCGCCAGCCTAGGCAGAGCGCAGCAGCTGGGTTCAATCACTGCCCTCGTCCCCGGGTGTGGTGGTGAGTGCCTGTACCCCCAGCACTTGGGAGGCTGAAAACGAGAATCACCATGAGTCTGGCCTACATAGTGAGACCCTGTAGACCCTGTCCTAAATATGTAAAATAATAATAATAATAATAAACTTTACAATACAGAGCCATGGTGTTTTATCATAAAGCTTGAAAGTGTGATGCAGTTGATTTTTAAATGACTTGAAATGCTCTAAAAGTCCAAATAAGAGAATTCCAACATTATACCAGGACTTCTTGTTATGATCTTATAAAGCTGATTAACATGAATTTCAGGTAATTTTGTCATGAGAGGAACCTGCTCTCAGGGAAGATGCTGTGTGTGCTGTTGGGCAGCTGCGCTGCTCCTTACCCTGTCCCTGTGGGCCTGGGTGCCGTGGGCTATCCTCGGGCCTCACACCAAGCAAGGCTTTTGGCACAGTGGGTGCAGAAGGCCCCCGCCCCCAGCCGAAATTGAAGTGGAGGCCAGAGCCAGGGTCGCCTTGTGCTAGAACACAGTCCAGAGCACTCACCCTCAGCTCCCGATCTGTGTGCCAAGGGTGAGAGCCCTCCAGAAGCTCAGAAAGGATGCAGCCCAGGTGGCAGATTCCACGAGCACCCTCCTGTCATCTGGAACTCACACCCGTGTGCTGGGGACGGGCCATCTGGCCTGGGTGGATACAGTCTGAGATGAATAGAGGAGTGTGAAGAAAGCACAGGGCTAGGCCCATCTTACCTGGTCCCATGATGTCCCCCATGGCAGTCATTGCTGGATCCTGCTGTTCCTTGGGAATCATCCTGTGGAGGGAAAGCTTCCACACATGAGCTGGGTCACCTCTTCTCCTCCCCAGACCTTTCTTCCTGCCTCTGGCTCACCCAGCCCTAATATGAACAGCCTTGACCCATCCCCGTGTCACAAGCAAGGGCTGTGTGAGCTGGGAGGGGTCTGCTTTGGGTCCCTTTGTAAAGAGAAGGATGGCAGAGGCGTGGGAGGACACCCCAGTCAGGTCCGCCTTGCTCAGAAGCGCCTTTTTCTCAGGGGCTGGCCCAACAAAGTGAGCACCATCCCTCCATGCCTGCTCATTTCCACGGTGAGCTCTGCTTCTCTCCCTCTTCCTCCACCCTCCCCCTCTCATTTCATGGTCCTTTCCAGGAAATCTTGGAGATTTCCAAGCCAGGTAAGCCCCCAGTGCTCCAGAGAGTCCCTGCAGGGCCCAAAGCCAGAGTTCTTACCTGTCTCCAGCAGAGGAGGCACAGCTCCAGGAGCCCCCACAGCCTACCAGATTTTTCAGTGCCCCTTCCCCCAGGACATGCTGCGTCTACCCATGTGTCCCATACCTGCATGGAGCCCAGGTCAGTGGGCAGTGAGCTGGGCAATCTGAGTCAGTGTGCTGACTTCCTCCAAAATCATGAACAGTGGTTCTCCAGCTCTGTGCCTCAGTTTCCCCCCTGTAATTTAGAAGGGTTGGGCTAAGCCACAAAGATCCACATGGGCTGCAGAGCATCCATGAACTCCTAAAACAGTATGTAGGCCTGGGTGTGTCTAAACACTTTTGGAAAGAGGGGCATGAGGTGACCTAGAATGCCCATCAGTGACCATTTAGATAGCTGCAGTCCACAGAGCTGTGGCTGGATAAATGTTTCCCTTACAGAATCCACCATCTCTGGGAAGGGTCTCTAATAGGCAGGCAGGAGGCTGCTTCCTTCCAGTGCCGATGACCCTGATGCCCTGAACCAAGCCTGCGCCTGTCACCCACCTTTAATTGCAGCCACCTGTTCTGCTATTTTATGGAGCTGAGTGCAGCCTAGTCAGCCCAGGAGCTATGGGTCCCAGGCTCCACAAAGCCCTAAACTCCCCAAATTTTCTGCAGCACTCTGTCTCTACTGGTACAAAAGTGTTCTGGGAGCTGCCTACCCCCTCCACCCGCTCCCCATAATAGCCCCAGCTCCCCTTGGATTTTTGTACCTGAAAGGACAGGACCACGGTGGACAGGCAGGACTGTTGGACCCCCAAGATTAACACCTCTATCGGGAAGCTGAGTCATGTGGTCACTGTCTGTCACGGATGGCAGTCAGCGGTCAGTGAGTGGGTGGTGCCCTGCCAGCTCTGGCTTCAGCTGACTAGAATCATTCTTGCCTTGTCGTGGGTCACAGCCTTATTTTGGGCTGCAACAGGAGCTGGGGCCAGATGCTAAAAGCACCAGGCCCTGGGGAAGACAGGTGCCCGGCAGCAGGCCCCTGAAGACAGAAGAGTTTGCACACATGGGCAGACACACATCTGTACGCATCAGGGTCGCCTGGAAGTGCTGTCAGCTCCTGTTCACTTCAGCCAATTAACTGATGCACACTTGGTGCCTAAAATGGTGCATAATAAGAACTCTGTTGGTATTTGTGGAATAAAGGATGGATGGATGGATGGATGGATGGATGGATGGATGGATGGATGGATGGGTGGATTGTTCTCCAATATCCTTGCTTGACCTAGCCTTTCCCCCCTTTCCTCTTTCTTCCTTCCATTCCTTCTTCCCTCTCTTCTACCCTCCTTCTACCTCCTTACAGTCTCTAAGCCTCTCTCTATGGGCTGAAAATAAATAAGGGAGGGCTCTGTCCTCAAGGAGATCAGTCAGCTCAGATTCAGACCAGCAAACAAGTCTTACAGGAAAGGCTCATGGGAGAGGCTAGGCAATCCAGTTAGCCAGCCCAGCCTGGAGCTCTGGCAGGCTTCCCAGAGGAGAAGACACATTTGGACTGGGCCTTGCCGGATGAGTGAGAGTTCACTGTGCAGAGAGGAGACAAGGGCATCATGGGCAGAGGACACAGTACATGTAAAGATGGTGAGGGGTTGGCAGTAGAGCCTGGGCTGGGGGGCAGTGCTGAGAGCTGAGGCCAGACAGGTGGGCCGGGCCCAATCCCAGCAAGCTTCTCAGAAGGAAAGTGGTTTTACACGGGTGGAGCAGAGTGGTCAGACTGGACCACTCCTCTGGCTGTCAATGGGTTGGACCAGGCAGCAATGGAGGCTGAAGGCTGGGGTTATAGGCAGGTAAAAGCTGGGAGTGACTAGGCGATGGAGGGATGGAATGGGTGAAGAGGAAGAAAGGGCATCGAGGGTACCTGGACCATCTCCATGCCCTAGTGACAGACTTGCAGTGGGAAATAAGGAAAGGTGACTTCTGTGACTGGTTTGGGAGCCTGAGGTGGGCAGTAGGGAGGAGCAGGTTGGTGCAGGAGACCAATGCTGAGCTGATTGGGGTGAACTCATTTTTTTTTCAATGATTTATTGATTTTTTTCCTAAATTTAGTACAGGGTCTACAGGGTCTCACTACATAGATCAGACTCATAGTGATCTGCCTGTGTTCAGCCTCCCACGTCCAGGCTCAATCTCTGATTCAGCACACCCCAGAGGATCAAATCCTGGCTACTATGCTCTGCCTAAGCAGGCTCTTTAGTCCACTGAACTATCTGGTCGGCCCTATTTTTGAGACCAGGGTCTCAATGCATAGCTCTGTAGTTCTGGCTGGTCTTGAACTCAAGCTGGTCTCAATCTCATGGCAATCTCCTTCTGGTTGGGATCACAGGCGTGCACCATTGCACACACTCTGCTCGAGATGAACTTGGTGTGGGGTGTCTGGCATTAGAGCGCACTGATCAGTCGGCATGGGGGTTCTAGCTCAGAAGAGGCTTGAGCCAAAGGCATGATCCATCAGAGGGACACAAGCCCTTCTCAGGTACAGCAAGGGGGCCCTGGGTCAAGTGAGAGGAGCACTGTGTCTGTGTGTCTCTGCTGACAGTCCTGGGATGCATTTAGACAGCTGAAGCCTGGACTCTCCTGTGGTCCACCCTGAGCCCACATGCCTGCCTATTGGGTTCTTCTGCCCAGTCTCTGATGGGTCCGCATTTCTACAGAGGAAAGGCAGAGCCCCAGGCCAGACACATCCTCTCCTGGAATGCAGCCACAGTTCCCTTCTGAGGGAAAGCGTACTCTATCAGGAGTAGGGGACTCCCAGTCTCTGTGTCTTGCCTTACTAGGATTGCCAGGACTCTCATCAAGGCTCCTCATCCTGCAGGGAACCCTGAGCTGCTGTGATGAGGAAGCAGCCCCAGGGGACTAGACCCTGATGTGATGGGCCCTGTACACTTAGTGACAGTGCCCTGTGGTCAGGGCCTGGACAGTACTGTCCTGAGGCCCTACCTAATCCAACTCTCTTATTACACAGAGAGGGAGGATGAGACTCACCAAAGTGGGCTCACCCAGGGCCCCCTAGTTGGTCAGGACTTCAACCCAGGGACTTCTGTGGTCCCAAGTTTTTTCAATGTTCCTCATTTTTCCTCACAGCTCTGATCCCCAAGCTCTAGGCCATGTGTCTCAGATACTCCCATCTACCCAATGTCCTGTCGATAGCTCCTTGCTTGGGGAAAAGGGAGGGACTCTAGACAAACTTAAAATGACACACGAGGCAGATGATTTCAGGAAGCATTTATTGAGCTGAATTCTACAGGAAGCAGAGGCTACAAGGGCAAGCTCTAGTGTGTTAGACAAGCGAGCAGAAGACAAGGCAGTTCCCAGAAGACAGCTCAAAATAGAGTTGTGGCTTCCCAAGGCTGCCTCCTGCTGGCTCTTCTAGGAAATGCAGGAAGATATGGCTCTTCTATGTTACTGCGTCCCTTCTCTGAGGCACTTTAACGGCGCTCCCATGCTGCAAGAGACTCCTCAGCAGGTGGGGGCCTTGGCAAATGTGGTTGCTCCTTATGAACTAAGCAGAGCACCCTCTCATCTTCCCAGCAACAAGGCCTGTGTCCCCAACTCTTAGGCCATAGGAAATCTCTAGGATTACTCCTTTATTCCAGAGTGCCCCCCACCCAAGCCTGATACTCTTCCTTCCTGATCCAAGCTTTCCCTAGTCTTACTCAGGGGGATCCAGGTCTAACATCACCCTGACAGTTGGGGAGGTCTACCCTTATGCCAAAATCACACTGTCACTCACCTTTAGCAACATCCTGATATTCTTTCATCCCCACACATTTGGTCCATGGCCAATTCCAGCCACCCACCACTCACCTCTAAAGTATTCTGAAGCTGCTATTCTGAACCTCTAGGGGGCACCACTAGCCAACTCTGGGAATTACAGAACTCGGGCCACGTACATTCCCAGGTCCCTCCTGGGGATTGGAAATAGCCCCTAAGGGGGAAGGAGCAGGCTAGGGCCTGTAGTCCGACTTCCCAAAGTCTCCAAGTACCAGCACGCGATGGGAGTTGGATGAGATGATGTCTACTCTTCTGAGTGTGATGTAGACCCTGAGATGGGGGCTGAACTGAAAAGAGGGGCACTAGTCAGGTGACCAGAAGCACAGGCAGACTCTGGCCTAATCCCTTTCCTGCCTACCCAAGGCCATCTGCCCCTGAATTCAAGCCCAGCAGACACCCCATCACTCCTCCCCACTTCTTAATACCACGAACACATTTCAGCACTGAAAGAGCCCTCAGTGATCATCTGAGCCAACACCAGCCCCTACTAGACTTTGCTGTGCATCCTGCCACTGTGTCTAACAAGGAATGCTTTGCCTTCCTCTCTCGGAATAGGTAGGCCCCAACTGAGGCCTATCAGGCAAGGCCACAGGTAGTTTGGTATCTCTCCTTCCTTCCCTCAACTTTGAACCCAGAGCCTGCTATGAATGGGCCCAGAGAGGTGGGCTGGAGGCATGAACCTAAGCCTGGGGAAAATCATTGCCTTACAGAGCTCTTCCCTGGAGAGCTGAGCTGAGGTGGAGAAAGTAGCATGACAGGACCCAAGGAGAACAGTCCTGAGCCTTTTCTCCACAGGGGCCAGCAAGGCACCTTGAACTGGCCTGGGAGATCTCTCTAAAGGTCACTGGGTAAAAATAGATCTTCTCTGAGAAGGGATGGAAAACAGCTGTTCCTGCCTAGGATTTACTGCCAGGGAGCAGGATAGTCAAGCCAGGGCCTGGACATGGCACACAGCCTAAGTTCTGACTCCCCGGAAGGGGGGGGGGTGACCTGGACCACAGCATGCCCAAGGGTCCTTGTGCACGACTGCCGCCTTTAAGGCCCGAGCGTGTGTGCTGATGGAACTGGACATTTAGATGTTAGCAGACTGCCTTGCCCAGGGCCGCAGTACAGAGAAGTGAAAGCTGCGGGTCCCACGCAGGCAGAGTCCTGCCAGTCACACAGCGGGATTAGAGCAGGGGTTAGAACCTACGCCCGGGGACCTACTCTTCCGGGAAGACCAGAGCTCTCCTTCGTTGGCACCATACGTCCAGGGCTATTTAAAGGGTGCTGGTGATGGGTCCCCCAAGCCCGAGGCCTCGCCGTCCGCCATCCGGCTCGCCATCCCGGTGGGGCTGCGGCCCCTGCTTAGGTGGTGCACGAGGCCTCCCTGGGAAGGCTGCCGCGCTTGAGCCGCAGGCTGCCGCTCCACCCGCGGGGGCAAATGTTGTAGCCAAGGATGCCAGGGGACTTGAGCCCGGAGTCTTCGGAGTCCAGGGACACGTCGGAGTCCGTGGGCGAGCGGCGGTAGGGGAGTGGCCTAGGCGGCGCAGGTAGAGGGCTGCAGGGAGCGGTGCAGGACACGGACCCCATCGCCAGCGATGAGCGCACGACTGGACCTGACGCCGCCACGCGGGCGGTGCCCTGGCCGGGACCCGGGTGCACAGGCTGCGGCGAGCGCATGCGCGGCGGCGGCGGCGGCACCCTGGGCGGGGAGAAGGGCCGCAGACTCTCGGTGCCCGCCGGCCGCGGGGAGGCGCTTTTGCGCCGGGCCGCGTTGATGATGTTCCGCGCCAAGAGCGCCTGCAGCTGGCGGCTGGGGGGACGCATCTCGATCTCTGGTCGCAGCGGCGACACGGAGCGCTCGCTCCACGATGGGGACATGGGCGGTGGCGGCAGCGGCGGGGGGCTGCTCATGTTGCTCCCGCGCCCCGGCTCCCATGGCCCTGGGCTCACCCAGCCGTCCAGGCTGCTGGGGGGCCGGGACGCGGCGGGCGTCCAGGGCGGGGAGGTGGGTAGGCTCTCTGGGCGGTCCTGGGGAGAGAGCAGAGGTGGGGCCGGGCGTTAGTGTTTCCATCCTCTGAAAACAGGGCTTTTGGGTTTGGTTTCGTTCATTCTGGTCTTCAATGGCCAGCGATCCTCCCGCCTCAGCTTCTGGAATGCTGAGATTACGGGCGTGAGCCACAATGCCTGGTTTGAAACAGGGTTTTGGAAGGGAAAGACCAAAGTTAGGTAGAGCCTGCCATTAAATGCAGGTGACCCAATTCTCAGCCCAAACTATTTAAAGAGCACATGCTACTCGGTGTCAGCTCTTGTCTTGAACAGAGATAGATGCCCAGAAGTTGAGAATTGCTCACTATGAAGACAGACTTAACTTTCTGGGTGAAGTTGCTTCCTCCTTCTGGGCTTTACTTTTCCCTCTGCAAAATGGGTGCACTATAGGATAGGGGGCATAGAGATTAACTCTCGTGAAAAAACACGAGAAGTGTTTGCATATTCCGTGGAGGAAAACTGCACAATAGGTGTTAAAATTTATAGGAAGGATACACATGAAGTTAACCAAAGTGGTTGCCTGTTAGGAAATGGGGCAGAGAAGGGCAGGGCACACAGTCACAGGGGATAGGATCAGGCTTTTAAAGACTTTTTTGGGGGGGATTACAGGGTGTTCAGGGTCTCACTACTAGATCAGACTGGTAGTGATTCTCCTGTTTACAGCCTCCCAAATGCTGGGATTACAGGCACGTGCCACCACACCCAGTCTCAATCGCTGTCTCAGTGCACCCCTGGGGTTGGAGGGCATGGCAGGCTCGGGGATCGAACCCCCTAAAGAAACTTCTTTATGTTTAGATATTTGAACCATAGGGATGTGTTGTCTTCCAAAATCTTAAATTTAAGGATTTTTTTTAAAAGTGTATTTAGTACGGGGTCTAGAGGGTCTCACTACACAAATTGGATTACAGGCTTACACCACCAGGCCTACCCTCAGTGCGCCCCAGGGGTGGGACCGACAAGGTATGTGTAAGCAGGTGCTTTAGTCCACTGAGCTACCTGGCCGGCCTGAATTTAAGGGCTCTAAACTGTTATTAAAGTTGATCTTAGTGAAGGACCCTCTCAATCCCAACCCCCTTGCTTTGTTGCCATGGTCCTCTCCTCATTTTTCCATGGATTCCGGAGAAGTTCCTACCGACATAGAAGTTCCTACTGACATAGAAAGACAGAGGGAGGTTGGGTCGTTCTTCCCCAGCCAGCTCACTCTTCCAGGTTGTGAACTCCTGCTCTGCTAAGAACTGCCAGGAGGTCCAACTCCAGACCTTGTGCTTGCAGGACAGGCACTTATGCCACTGAGCTATCTCCCCGGCCCTCATTTGTTTCTTATCTATTCGACTATTTCCCAATCTCAAGGCTTGCTCACACGCATCCTCTATCTCTCACTAACTCCTCACAGCAGACATGTGAAACAGCTGCCACTGTCCTACCCATTTTGCTGCTGACAAAAATGAAGCTCAGGGCCTGGGGAGATAGCTCAGCGTTCTAAGCGCCTACCTGGCCAGTGCAAGGGCCCGAGTTCAATCTCCGGTACCTCATGCTATGCTGGCCCTTGTAGCAAGACCCTGTATCAAATAAATAAATATTTTTACATTAAAAAAAAAGGAAAAGAAGCTCAGAGGTGTACATAACCCAGCAAATTCTGTTGCAAGAGGGAATGTGTGTGACTATCTGTTGCTCAAAGACTGAAGCAGTTTTAACTCGTTTGAAAGTGCAGAACTTGGTAATCTGTGCTTAGTCTGTATCTTCTGAACCACCCAACTATTGACTCAGTCAAATTCCAACCCATCTACTTGGGCTCCAAATCCTACCTAAGTTCACCAGCAGTCATTCATCCATCAGAGCCCTGAGCTGGCCCCTCCCTTCAGGCCCTCTACCCAATCAAAACCTAGAACTATCAACAAGATCCATTCTTTTTTTTTCAGAGCCGGGGATTGAATTCAGTCCCTTGCGCTTGCCAGGCAAGCACTTATTCAGCTGAGCTATCTCTCCAGCCCCAAGATCCATTCTTTCATCCAATCAGCAATCAGCCTTAGCCAACCAGTCATTCTTTTCAACTAAATGAGAATCTAGTAACTCCCAATCAAAAGGACGATTGTATATATTCCCCAGATAGAATCCTGCAGCTACTAGATGAGTCCAGACTCAGAATCAGGCCCTTTAACCTAAAGAGGAATGCTAAGCAACTATGTCAACAGGAAATTTGTCATGGGATGGTAATGCTGCAATGACTTCCAGGGGACATATAAACACTCAGTCATCAAGTGGGAAGGTTAAGGCTCAGTATAAAACCTCTCTTTTACTTCCAGGGCCAGAGCTGTGCATGTGAGTCAGAGACCCTAAGTGCTTCTCTGTGTCTGTGATACATCCCAGGAAGCTTGCGGGCAGGTCCCTGTGGGTGACAGACCCTGGGACTTACCAAGAGGAGATTGGGAAGGAGGTCTCTGCCCCATGTTGAGACAGGAAGGGCTAGGTGCTGACAACAGAATTTCAGGGCTAAATGCCAAATCAGGGAGACTCAGGCATGTCCCATTACCTGGCAAAAGTGCTACTCTTAGAGGGCAGGCAGAGACAGGAGCAGGAGGGGACCGACCCAAGACAGTCAACAGCCACTGAGGCAGAGAAGCGAGTGCTCATCAGCGAGAGGAGGAGGCTAGAGCAGGGGGAGCTACAACACTTGTCTAAAAATCTCTAACACATTGTTTCTGCCTGTCATGGCTGCAAGAGCATTGCTGGGTCCAACTATGGAAGAAGTAAGAGAATTCAACCAAGAATAGTCTGGCATGGTTTAGATACGGGTTGGAATGTTGGGGGCAGTGGTGAGCAGCTCCTGGCCATTTGGAGGTGGGCCAGAACCTGACCTCATACTGACTGCCAAGTCCAGGAACTGAGTGCATGGGGGCAGTGCCCAATACAAAGAGGCTGCGGGAAGTCAGAATTGTGCAGTTCTGCCCAAGGGCTCAATGCATGTATATACTGGGCTCCTTGGGAATGCAGTGGGTGAAAATTCAGAAAGCAACACCCCATCAGCCCTGCCCAAGGCCCACAGCAGGCACCCATGTGAGGTGAAGGCACAGGCAGAACAGAGGCAGCAGGGACTAACAAAATCCACACAGCTCCCAGAACACCATCTGCAAGGCCGTCATTGCCCAGAAGGGGAAGCTGAGGCACAAGACAGAAAGGGGTCATGTGAGGTTGCACAGAAACCAGGCACCGACCTGGCAGTTGCTTCCTCTCCAACTGGCATAGACACTGCACCTTGGGAGGCAGGTGGTGATGGTGATGCATGTGGGAAACAGATTTGGTAGTGGGGGAAGAGGAGAACAAGGGAACTGGATAGCACTGGTCTGGCTAAAGGCCTTTCAGCTCCACTTCTAAAGAACTGAAAGAAACCCAGGCCCTGAGAGGCAGTGTGTTTTCCCGTGTTCCATAGCTCTTTTGGCCAGTTTCTTGGGGAAGGGGAAGACAGGAGATAACTTGCACAGGGCTTGTATGCCATATGGGCTGGCTGAGGAGGAAGTCCTGACCTCCGATGCCCTACCAGCCTCCCGCCCCCCAGATCCATACACACAACAGTGCAGGCAGCCCAGGAGCACACAGCTTCACTTTCACACGCAGCAGCTGAGCAGTCCCACTCCATGTCCCAGGCCAGACCAGGGGGCAGAGAGGGACCCCGGACGGCGGCAGGCAGCAGCAGTGCAGAAGAAAGAAGCAAGACAGATTTGAGGCAGAGTGTATTGAGAACAGGACAGAAAACAAAGTTGGGGGAAGAGCTCAGCCTGGCGACAGGAGCTGCACGAGGGAAGTGGGCTTTTCCCCACTGCTGGCCCCCTCCTGGGCTCAAGGGAGCCTGCCACCCACAGGGCCTTGACTGTGCTCTGGGAGGGGCCTGGCATGAGGTACTGAGCTCCCTACAGTCGCTCCCCCACCCGTCTTTCTGATGTGTGGCATGAGCTCACTGAGCAAGCACCCCTGTTCCCATGGAGATGAGCCCAGAGCTCAGGCAAGCTGCAGGCTCAGCCCGGCATGGGCACCGCCTCCACCACCCTTCACTCCTCTGGGAGCCCAGAAATAGGGCTGGGAAAGAGAAAGTGGGTGGCCTCAGCCCCCAGCCTGGGACGCTTCCATCAGCATCCTGCCTCTTTCGCCTGTATTCTCTCAACACCCCAAGAAGCCCTGTTCTGAGGAGCTGCATCACCTCAGAGGAGCAGCTGAGGATCTCAGGTTACCTGACTAATGTTCTTGCTGTGTGGATGGGAAAACTAAGACCCAAATGGAGGCATGCAGCCAGCCTGTCTGAACCCAGGTCCAAGTCCCAGACTCTGACTGGGGGTCTTCCACATCCTTTCCCTCCGGGCTGCTGCACACCAGCCCTGATGCTCATCACTCTCTCAGTGAAATCCTGAGCTCAGGCTTCTGATGCTGTGGCCTCCTGCAGCAGCTCCTTCCAACCACACCCACCAGGCCCACAGCTAACTCAGTCCTTCATCAACAGCCCACTTTGTTTTCTGTTCTTCCCAGGGTACCCTCTTCACCTACAAAGTCTTTCTCCCCAAGTACCAGCCTCAATTCTCAAGCCTTACAGATCATCTCAGCTAGAAGGCCCTTTCGTATAAATGAGAGAATCGGCCCAGAGAGGGAAAGTGGCCAGGTCTCACCCAGCAAATGGAAAGTACAGGAGGTAGGGCGAGCAGACTGCCTCCCTGCCGCTCTCCTTGGGGTGTCTCCCTACTGCACTGAGGTAGCTTCCTTTAGCCAGGGAGCTCTTGGCTGAGGTTAACACTAGAACATCTCAAGGATACCTCCTAGCATCACCCCTACACCCCACAGCCCTCCTCAGGGATCTCCTCTCATAATCCCTGGAATGCCCTCACCCCCAAACTGTGAGGGCAAGCTAGGTGGAAGCAGGACTGGGGTCAGCAGGGCCAAGGAGTCACTTAGGTGCAGCAGAGTCCTAAAGAGGGTGTGGAGGAGGGGCAGGAAGAAAAGCATCAGACAGCAGGGAGTTGAGTCCGAATCCACAGAAAGATCCAGGAGAGGAGCAAAGATGGAGGCAGGTGAAACTCTCTGAAGCAGCAAAGAATCAGTGTTCAGGAGGCAGGGAGGGAAGAGACAGGCTTGTGGAGATGAGAATCCAGCAACAGCAGGAAAGATGCCACGCAGCTGAGGAGGCAGACCCTTGGCTGAAGAACTCCATAGGCACTGGTAGGCTCCGCCTGCTCCAAAGGTCCCATCAGAGCCACCTCCTGACCCTATCTTCCCCCAGCAAGACGCTGGCCTCAGATGCTGCCATTCCTGTCTCTTACCAAGGCCAAAGGTTGCCCTCTGTCTTTCAGGGAACCAGGCAAGTTCTCACCCCATGACCCTCTGTTCCCCACACGGTGCCCAGGCCCCTTGTGGTGGGAAGAAGCCTGCAGCAGCTCAAGTGGAGACATGCCCTGGTTCACACAGCTAGTAGGTAGCAGTGGTGGTGCCTGAGCCATGGATGCCCCATGCTCCTCCAAAAGCCCTGTATTGCTTCCTAACCGGTCTGCTTTCTGGCCTTTGGAGAAGGGGCCTTGACTGGCAGTGGGACCCCTTGGGAAGATCGCTACTTGAAGCAGAAAGAAGGCTTCCACACCTGAGGCTCGATCCCAGCATTCCGGGTAGAGAAGGAGGGCCTGGGAGCCTGCTTGGCTCGGGGAGACCACGCCCGGGAGGGAGACACAGGGGAGACATCACTGCTGTAGGTGGGGCTCACAGCAGTGGGCTGGAGGCCATCCTGGCCAGGAGAGGTGTAGAGGCCAGGTGAGGAGCGGGAGGGCCGTGGCAGGGCAGGTGACAGCGGGAGCCCAGCCTTGGGCAGGCTGGGCACCAGGTCCAGGGAGCTTGGCTTGGCAGGGGAGGCAGCTCGCGGTGAGGCCACTCGGGTTGAGGCCGCTCGGGACGAGGTCACTCGTGGTTGTCGGGCTGAGGCCTTGCTAGGCTCCTTGATGGGTGAGAGGACAAAGAGCGAGGACCGCATCTGGTAGGGCGGCTGCTTGGTGGGCTCTGGGCGCAGGACTCCGTTCTCAGGCAGGTAGCCATGGTAGAGGGAGGCGGGTGGTGTCCGCGCAGGGCTGAGGGACGCTACGCGAAAGCCCCCTGGGGCACTGGTGGAGTATTTCCAGGATGAAGGTAGGGACATGGTGGGAGATGGGCAGCGGGCCAGCTCTGTGTGGCCTGCAGACTCAATGACGTATTTCTCCATCCGTGACTGGCGGCGGGCGTACAGCTCTGCTCCCTTCCCAGAGGCCTCGGAGAGGTTCTGGTTGGGTTTGGGCTTTGGCTTGGCCTGTATGCGGGGCGACTTGAGGCAGGAGGCCCACTCGGGGACAGCATCTTCAGCTGCTGCAGGGCTGCCCCTATCCCGAGGGCCAGGCTCCTGCTGGAAGTTGGAGGCCTCGGCCCCCAGTGCGAAGGGTTCCTCCTCAGCACCCACATCCCCCTGGTCTCTCTGCCTCCGCTTCTCATCAGCCGTCTGCACCAGATCCAGCAGGTCTGGGTTCGGGGTCACCTTAGGCTTCTCCACAAAGGTGAACATGGATTTACGGCTGCCCCGGCGGGCCATGGACTCCTCTAATATGCCTGTCTTGCTGGTGGGAACTGCCTGGCCCTTCAGATGAGAAGGCTTAGTGTCAGAACTGGGGTACAGGGCAGAATAAGAAGGGGGAGACCGAACCCGAGAAGCCAGGGGGGCTGTGGACAAGGTCTCTGCATAGGTAGGGGGTGGGGCGAAGTTCCCCAAGGGCCGTCTCTCCAGGGCTGGGCTTCGCTGCCCCACCAGCCTCCTTTCTACCATGGGGCTGTGGGACATGATATGTCTTTGAGGCCGAGGACTCCTGTCTACCATGGTGGGAGCCTGGGGAGCTGGGGCTTTCTCCCCAAAGTGTCGTCTCTCCATCATGGGACTCCGCTCCACCTGGCTGGTACCTCCTGCTGCCTGGATCCCAAAAGGCCTGGCCGTCCTATTGACCACTGACAGAGGCTTGGCCAGGGTGAGGTGGACCTCACTGTATACCTTGGTAGGCGTGGTGGCAGGTGCCCGCCCAGACATCTCAGGCTCTGCTGACATCATTAGGGTGCTGGGTTGGACATCGATGAGCAGGGAGCTGGACATGAAATCTGGACCTGGAGGACCAGAGCTGGGGATGGGAGTGGCTTCTCTACAGAAGGTGCCGGTGGTAGTAGATGGAGTTGATACCTTATCAACTAGGAGTATGCTGGACATCATTTCCTCTACTGGCGCCTGGGGTGGCCCATCAGCACACACGTTGCTGGGTCTGGACTCCGGTGTGGTGCCATTTGTTGTGTGCTGTGCTACGGGTGAATTCTGTTGGACCCCAGAAAGTGCTGGGCTCTGCGGGATGACAGTTATCGGGGGGTTCTGATTGATGTCTGTGGCTGGAGGGTTGCAGTTACTGTTAGAAACTGATGTGGTAAGCGTGGTGCCAGGTGAGGACAGGTTTTGGTTGACATCTGTAGCTGGACTGTGGCCCTCAGCTGAAGGAGCGGGTGGCAGGGATTCTTGGGCCTCCCGGTTCTGGGACAGGTGGAGCCCATTGGCTGTCAGCAGGGCTGCATTCTCTTTTAAATATACCACCAGAGGCACCTCTTCCTCCTCACTGGCCCCCTCCAGGTGCCGCAACAAGCTGGCCTCCTCCGAGTACCCCTCCATGCTGTGGCCAGGGACCCCTCGGCTGGGGCTCTGGGGGTTGGGGAGCCTAGGAGGGCCTGGCTTGGATGGCGCAGATGAATTCAGGTGGAGCCCTGGAGCATGGCCTGGTGGACTCGCAGGGAGCACCCTGAGGGACTCCTGGCTGGGCTTTGGCCCCCTCTGCCCGTGGCTCTCCCAGGTGAACTCGTTCACCCTCTGTCGGCGCCGGTTGAAGAGTTGGACACCCCGAGAGCTGGAGCTGGGAGGGGTGGTGAGCTGGGCTGCGATCTGCTGGCTCCGTGCCTTGGCCTCCTTCAGGTCCTTCTCAGCGAGGCTGGTGCTCTGGCCCAAGGCTGCAGGGAGGGACAGAGGCTCAGTTAGCAAGCAGGAATGCAGAGCCACAGGGCAGTGCAGACACAGATGGCCCTCGTGCCCTCCAAACATGACCTTTTCCTCTGGAATTTGATCTTTACTGTGCCTAGAATCACCCTCATAAAGATACCTGACCCACCCTTCATAGTTTAACACAAATGCCACCATCTCTGTGAAGCCTCTTCCGACTCTCTCCAGCCTCAGCTGGCCTTTTACTTGGGTTGCCCCTGCAGGGTGTTGCTAAACCTGACTCTTCTCCTGGAAGCCAAGGTCCCTAGAGAGCACTTTACCTGTCTCCTATCACCTTTCTTCTCCCTAGGTTCTGCCATACTGGTTTTCCTCTGTCCCTTAATAATACCTGCAAGAAAGCTCAATGGACTAAGCACCTGCTTAGGCAAGTACAGGGACCAGGGTTCGATCCCGCGTACCACGTGCCATGCTGGCCCTACTCCAGGGTGCACTGAGCCAGCCACTGAGACCATGCATGGTGGCACATGACTATAATCCCAGCACTGGGGAGGCTGAACATAGGAGGATCGCTATGAGTCTGAGCTGTGTAGTGAGACCCTGTACCAAATACATTAATAAAAAATCCAAGTGTGTCCTGCCCCAGGCCCTTTGTACTTGTTCCCGCTGCATGAACAATCTTTTCTCACTTGGCATTCCATGCTGGTTCCTTCTTGGGGCTCGGTTCTGTTTGAATGTCCCTTCTCTGGACCATCTTTCCCTTCTCCTGGCCAATTTATTTTTTTCATAGCGTTCACCACAATTTGAAATGATCTCCTTCCTGTGTTTCCTTGTTTATTACCGGTCTTCTCACCTAGTATAGCTCTAAGGGATGAGGGCCATGAAGAACTTGTCACTCTACTGGCTGTTAGAGCAGTGCCTGGCATAGCATGCGCCCCTGGTGGTGACTGCAGAATGTATAGGCGGACCCCTGGGACCTGTTCTATGTGCCTTTTTAAGGGTCCTTTGCGCTTTCAAAGTTGTAGTATAGTCAACTGCTTTGATTTTATAAAGCACTGGCACTAGTAATATTCCTTTTTAGTACAGACAATATATTAGCATTTTATATATTAAAAATAAAAAACATAAAGCCTCACAGTGAAAAGTGTCCCTTCCTCTCTGATTACTGCACATTATAATCAGGAAATGGTCACATTGTCAGTTTTCTTCCCATTTGACTTAAAACAGTCACTGAAAAATCCACATATTTTAACACCAGAGAAGTAATAAATCAGGCTAACGTCCATCCACAGTGACTGGAGCAGAGTATGGCATTATTTCATTCTGTCCTCACCAGAATTCTAGAAGACAAAGCAGTACCTGCCCGTTTTGCAGAAAAGGAAACAGGTTCAGCGCGTGTAAACAGCCAACCCAAAGTCACACACTGAGGATGGCAAGGCTGGTGCTGATCCACAGCCCGTGCCCAGGGTCCCTTCGGGCAGTAGGGGCGGGGAGACACTCAGCTTGCGGGCCAGATTCGGTCAGGAGCCTGAGGTCAGGTCCTTACTAGGCTTACTGTCAGCAGCCGTTCCTCTTTCTATCCCCGGTTCACCACAGAGGCCCAGTCAGTGCTCAGCTTAGGCTTGATGAGCAACAAAAGAGCAAGAAGAGTGAGTGGATGTGAGGACAAATGGCTAGCAGGGGGACATATGGGAGGACGGGCAGGTCAGCCTGTGGCCAGCCACAAGCTCACTCAGGAGCTGAGAAGATGCCTCCCTTCTTCATCATCATTCCCCCCTCTGCTGCTGTGAGAAGCTAATTAGTTCTTGAGGAATTTGACCTTGCCCTCCCTCCTGCTTTGACCCCATTAGTGCTGGCTGTGACATGCTGAGTGGGACTCCAGGGACTGTCTTTTTAGGCACCCTGCCAGCCACCTCAGGATTTCTAGACTCCCAGAGCTGGAAGGTTCCTTCTGGAGGAGGTATTTCACTGCTACCCCCATTTTATAGATGGGGAAACTGAGGCCCAGAGGGCAGCGCAAGGTAGAGCCTGTTGACTTCCACACATAGTCAACAGGAAGCCCGACAGGATAGATGGCTGCTTCGCTGGTCCAGGCCACACGGGCACAAGCTCTATTCCCAAGCTCCTCCTTCCTTCTTTCCCCCAGTGCCTAGCTTCCACCAGGCTGCTGGAAACAGTGAGAGCACACAGCCCACTTCACCTGCTCAGGACTGGGTCACCCCATCTATAAATGGTAAAGAGGTGACCTAGGATGCTTCCCTGGAAGAACCCAAAAGTAGGGGTCATCAGTCACACAGGACATCTCTGAGAGGTTGTTCAGCCTATGCATTGTCTATTTCTTCTGCTCTCCTTAAAACCCAGGCCTCACACTTGTAATCCTAGTACTCAAAAGGCTGAGCAGGAGGATCTCCATGAGTTCAAGGCCGGCCTGAACTACACAGTGAATTCAAAGCCAGCCTAGAATACACAGCCAGATCCTAACTCAAAAAACAACTGAACAAAGAAGCCCAGGCCTCCTGGTCCAAATCCAAGCTCTGCCACTTACTAGCTGTGTATCTCGGCAAGGCACTGTACCTCTCAGAGACACTGTCTTGCTAACTAGGGAGAGGCTGAAAGTACCTGATGTGGGAAGTGAGAGGTGATAGTGAGGTCACCCATGCCAGCGGGCACCAGCACTGAGGCCTGGTGGACATGGCAGAGGGCTGATGCTACCCTGGGCCGAACTGGCAACTGGTTCTGCCCAGGGCTGATGCAACTCTGCTGCACCTCTAGAAGAGAGATCCACAAGACAGGTCAGGATCCTGAGGGTCACACAGTGGGGATTCTGGCCTCAAGTGACAGAACCCCAGAATCTCAGAGCTGATCTCCACTGGGTCAAACTCCCCATGCAGTTCTCACATCTCCAGAACCATGTCCCGAGTGCACAAGCTGGGTTTACTGCACTGACACGAGCTCACCCTGGCCAAGGTGTGCCGCCAGTAGACATCCTTAGCTGTAAAGCCACTCCTTCTGTTGACTTTCAGTAGATGTGGTTCGGTCCAGCACAGCCACACAGAAAAAAATCTTCTTCTTCCAGCCAAACTGCTTTTCAGAGGTTCCCATGGGACACAAGACAATCACCCCCAGCGCCCCCCAGAGTATGTGTCTGATGACAGACCTGCAGCAGTGGTACCTAACACTCACTGGGTGTGTGTTACACACACACGTCACACAGCACCTATAGGGCACAACCTGTTATTAGGCACATTTTTATTCATTTGTTTATTTACTTTCAGGTGGGATCTCTGTATTTCCTAGGCCCATCTTGAACTTCTGGGCTTAAGTGATCCTCCTGCCTCAGCCTCCTACCAACATGCATATTTCATTGAGAATACCAAGGATCTGTGAGATGAGGTGAGCATATTACACATTGCTTCTAAGTTAGAATATCCAAGACCTCTCAATGTCCCTGCATTTTTCAGCTTTTCTCCTAATTTTTCTTTTTTTTAATTTTTAAAAAATATTTATTTATTTATTTGATACAGGGTCTTGCTACACAGTTCAGACTCGCAGTGATCCTCCTGTCCTAACCTCTCCTTTGCTGGGTTTACAGCATGCCTGGGGTTCTGGGGCCGACACAGCATGCAGTCCTAGGGATTGAACTCGCGTCCTTGCATTTGCCAGGTAGACACTTAGACCGCTCAGCTATATTCCCAGCCCTCCCCTAATTTTTTTGCTTCGATCCCATCTCCAGGCTGCCTCTCAAAGGCCATGGATTTGGAAAATCCTTAAATGCCAGTGTGGACAGCCCTTTGAGAAAAGGGAGCCAAGGGGTCACAAGGAGGTCTGGGCCCAGGAGCCAGGTGTGCTGACCCCTGCTGGCTCAGCTTGGCTCATGGCCTGAACTGTGACCTCCCCCACCTCCCAGGGCTTGGACAGGCCCTGCCTGTGCTACTGTGCTAAGCCCAGAGTGACAGAAAAGGCCAGGAGGCCACAAGCTGCACTCCTACCCCAGACCACAGTGACTCCACAGAAAAGGAATTCAGCGGGAGCTCTGGACCAGACCCAGCCTACAGCCCCATGATTTCTGCCACCCAGCAAACAAAGCAGGCAGGGGGAGGGGCTGGCTAACCAACCCTGATAACCATTCATGTCAGAGGGCGCCAGCAGAGCAGCTTTATCTAAAATTCCCAGAGGAAACTCACCTCTGGCAGTGACCAGCTGGCCTAAGAGTGTGCTCTCTGCTGTCAGACAGGAGAAGGCTTCGGGCAATAGGACAGGCACTTCCCTGAGACTCAACCTGCCCAGCCGAGTCTACTGAGCTATAAGCCCAGACCTCCCTGCCACCCTTTCACCCCCGTGCAGGGCCATGTGGGAGGTCAGCCCTGTAAAATCCCCTTGGAGCCTGGGTCAGGAGCCCTGCAGAAGGACAGCCCAGAGAAGACAGAGTGGAGTACGACAAGGAAGAGCTGCCTGGGGTCAGCATACTTCTGTCCAACAGGTGCACCAAAGGGTGCGAAGCCATTGGGAGGAGGGCGCCCTGCTGCAGTTACCACCTCGCTGCAGCCTGCGGTGAGGCTGCACACCATTAGTCACCATCCTGTTCCAACGCAGCAACCTCAGGAAATAGATTCTATTACTCCTCCCATTTCCTACTCAAGACCCAAGCCCAGAGCTGCCCACCCAGGATCACACTGCCTGAAAGTGGCACAGCTGTGATTCAAGAGCTAGAAAGTCTGGCTGCCAAATTTCAGCTCTTAAGCACACAGCCTTCCAGGCAGGGGCTCCAGGAAAGGTGCAGGGCTCCTGTGCAGCCAGTCATTATCAGTGCCCCTCTCTGTGCAGGACCCTCTGCCCTGGAAACTCAGCCACCTTGGACATCTCATGCTTTCTCTTCACTCTTCCTCTCAGAAGAATAACTGATAAACTCATTCTCACTAAGGTAGAAAAAACTGATAGGGTATTAAAGATGAGTGGAGTGGAAAGGCCATGAGGTTGGAAGTCAGGAGGTCCCTAATATTAGCTTTGCTCAGCC